GATATAATAGTGCAGATTCTTGAGATCCTAATACCTGGAAGGGTTTACATACATTTTACAAATCAGAGGATTCTAGTTCAAAAGAGTGTACATTTATGGAACATTGTGCCAATATAAAATATAACTTTTTTTTGGCAGAATTTTTTACTTTGGAAAATAACGAATGTATACGCATCTCAGAGTCTCTTCTAATTTTTTGGGAGGTAAGTGACAGCAGTTCATTTTCAGTAGAATATTTTTGAAAATTCACATAGGCATTGTGAAGTCAAATGCTAATATTGTGTAAGAAATGAATATACTACAACTTTCTCAAAATGGAAGCCTCTAAAACATCTCATCTGAGAAGTGAACACAAGCAAATCGTTCATTTTGACAGCTTTTTGAAATCAATCTTCCTTGATTTACACGTTACAAATTAAAACTATGATCACAAGACATCATTCCACATTCCCTCCTCTTGTTAATTGAACCAGCTTGAGCAGATGCAGGTGTTCCTGCTGTTAAATAACAAAAATGAGCTGAATGTGATAATTTGCAAGTCATTGTCTTAAAATAATTAACTCACAATCAAACTGTTGATGATTTTCTTACCTCAGTTCCACACCATTGCATGAAGAGGGTTTTGCTATAAAAATTAATTCAAGCACTGCAAATCTGCATAAAAATCTGACAATTTTGGCAAACTGCTTTCATTTAACATTGATTGAAAAAATACTATTTTTTTATCACATATGTAACTTTCCCGACCGCCCTCTACCAGCACAGGGAAGCACGGGAGCACAAAATCACATATACATGAATTTGCATTTCCTGGAAGGGGGTGCATGAGGCACATGCGCACCCTACCCGCACTGCCGTTCACGGCCGCAGGTGTCATTCACCGGGCGCCGGCCGGTGATTACTTGCTTAGTGATTGCCGAGCATCTCCAAAGGGGAGGAGAACTGTATGTATGTAAACAATACAGTTCTCTTCCCTGTCAGCTCATGCACAATGCTTTGGATGGCTGTGCTCATGCACAATGCTTTGGATGGCTGTGCACAGCACAACCATGCACAGCAGTGTAATTACAGTGAAGTACAGACACAAATAAAACAGCACACAATTAACCCTTAGATTGCACCTCATGATAACCCATTTCCTGCCCAGTACCATTAGTACAGTGTCAGTGCTTTTTTTCCAGTGACACCAAGTCATTTCCCCCCAGTGTCAGAATGCTTACCGCAGTCCCACAGTCCCGCTATAAGTTGCTGATCGCCACCATTACTAGTAAAAATAAATGATAATTAAAAAAATTCCATTATCTATACCGCCTTTTGTAAACGCTATAACTTTCACATAAACCATTTAATTTATGCGTATTGGGATTTTTTTTTTTAGCAAAGGCATGTAGCAGAATACATGTTGGCCTAAATTTATGATAACATTAGATTTTTTAAAAATTTTACTGGACATGTGTTTAATAGCAAAAAGTCAAAAATAGTTTTTTTCTTAAAACTGTCGGTCTTTTTTTTTATAGCACAAAAAATAAAAACACACAGGCGATCAAATGCATCAGAAAGAAAGCTCAATTCATGGGAAAAAATTATGTAAATGTAATTTGGGTGCAGCGTTGCATGACAGCGTAATTGTCAGTTAAAGTAACGCAGCTCCATAACGCAAAAAATGGCCTGGTCAGGAAGGGGGTAAATCCTCAGGAGGGCAAGTGGTTAAAGAATAACAGTTCTTTCAGACACATGACTGCAGTTGGTAGATTACCTGCCTAGATCACTAATGTAGTCTTAAAATACAAACAAAATCATTCTCTACATTCCTCCCAAGACCTCCTGCTCTCTAGCTTCCTTGTCACCTCCTCCCATGCTCGCCTCAAGGGCTTCTCTCAAGCGTCATCCATCCTATGGAACGCTACCCTATGTACTGTCTGACCTCATGTTGTAAAGTGCTGCACAAATGGTTGCTGCTATATAAATTTGTATGTTAATATTACCTTATCACAGAAACAAGAGTGTTTTTAGCACTCTCCTATTTAAAGTAGGCTGCTAGGTCAAATTTAGCTTTAGTTCCACTTTAATCACTGGAGCAGGGATTGATTAATTGGGGCTGCTCGGGGTTTTACATGCTGCTGCTCTGCTAATCACCCCTGTCTTCTAGGGATTTCTAAAAAATAGTGGGAGGGCAGAAGCTGCACCCTGAATATTTATGGGACATCAGCCAATCTCTGGGTAGTTGTGCCCAGAAGGTGGGGAGGAGAACATAAATAGTCGGAAGCCTGTGTAGGAGGAGCAGCTTGCCATATGTGGGTGTAGGGCAGTGTTCCTGAGTTCAGCCTATTGGAGGAGAGGCCTGTTTAGGAGCCTTGCCCTCCTGGGCAGAAGCTAGGGAAGGAAACCATCCTGAAGACTCCTGGGGGCCAGCCTGAAGACACTAGGCTTTTCTGGGAGACCTATTTACAAAGCAACCCAAGAATCCAGAGGGTCATGGGAGAGTTCACAAGATAGAACTTGTGGGAAGCTGTGGGAGAGAGCCCAAGTTGACCAAAAGGCAGTGTCTAAATCTCCATCACTAGGAAGAGCCTGGAAGGATATCTCCAGGAGGCAACCGATGATACTGGTTCCAGAGAGAGTACAAGACCCCAGTGCTGCAAGGGTGACAGTGAGGTACTTGGGATTGTGAGTGAAGTACAGGTCACAGGCAGATGGAGATTCCATGGGACTTTGCTGGGAGAGTGCAGCTAGAAGTTGTGCAGTACGGCAAAGCAGTTGTGGAATACATCCTCGAGTTGTACAAGTGCAGCCAAAGTTGTAGAAGGCTTTCAAGAGTTGCACAGAGCAGCCAGAAATTTAGTAGTCCTCAAGTTGTTCAAGTTCAGGTTGAACAGTTCTGGGGTGTCCCATACTCCCTATCCCCATCCAAGTTCATGGTTCCCCAATAAAAAAAAAACAAAAAAAGAAACCCCTAGACTAATTCTTGAGCCAGAGGAAGAATGCTGAAAATACTCTGTGCCTGGATTTGTGTGCTCTAAAGGGGGGAATAGGTCCAAATTAACCAGTGGCTCTTAAAGGGGGCACAACATCGTGATCTCCAAGCTGAAGAGGTATTTCTGAAACATACCAAGTCCCTGCTTTCTTTTCAGAGTATGCTAGCCTGAGGTGATACACACATCCTCCTATACAACCTGTACCTGTATATCTGCTGCCTTTCCTGTCTACATCCATTCTAAGTGAATCATTTTTGCACACTATTTCTGAGCTTCTAGGCAGGAATTTGATGGTACACACTGCATAGCACAGAGCAGGGAGCTGGGTGTAATCTGAGACCTGAGTGGAGGGAATGGACACAATCCCATCCACATAGTCCCATAGGACAACATGCAAAGGTGATGCTGTCAGTCACATTCTTTTGTGCTGGAGTTCCCTTCCTCAACACCTGTGATTGTTTGGAGTTAGGATAACCTGTCAGCAATTACTCATTTAGATAGCAGAGTAAGGAGACAGCTGACAGAAATTACACTTCACACTAGCTTTGTCAGCAGGCATCAGACAGGCGTTTGGGAAGCGCTTCTCAAACACCTCTGAAAATTCTGCACATGGCAGCACACAGTGCTGTTCACATGGAAGCGTTAGTGTTGCGTCACAGCAAAACTGACGCCTCATGTCGAGTCAGGAGGAGTTGAAGTCTCCCATTCAAGTCTATGGTGCCGCTCCGCAAACGCTTCAAGCGTTTGCGGTGTGGTTGTGATACGGATGCGAGGCGTTTGTGGAGCGTTAATACCATTTAAACTTCATTATAGGAGTTTGTGGTGCAGTTTTATCGCTTGGCAAATGCGTATCAACCGCCTCAAAACCGCGCATAGGGCATTTTGGGAACGTTTGTGCAGTATTAAAAAAGCTTCACAAACGCCTGTCTAACGCTTGTCAAGAGTTAGAAATAAAGTCAAGTGTGAAGGAGCCCTTAGTGCTTTGCATTGGGGCAAGTACACACTGTAGAAGGTTATGCTGTGTTCATTTTTCATTTCAGAGGTTTACAACCACTTTAGTGAATTGAGCAAGGCCTTCAGCTTACCCACTTCATAAGGTGCAAAATACTCTGTCCCTGGTTCTCCCTGTGAATGGTCATTACAGCGATCACATGCTATGGTTTACATAGTTTATCCCGCCCCTCCCTCTTAAAACCGAGAAAACAGAGATAGTAATTTCTAAATGGAGAAAGAATGAATGGATCAGCAGCAGCTGCCAGTTTCACTGGCTGTGAGATTTTGTTAACCCTCTTTCTTCTATACAGCTTTTCTGAATGTTCTCTCTATATGTGAACTATATATTAACCTTTCACCTTCCTTACCCTGAGCATCTTCACATTAACTCCTTCATCTCTATGTAGCCACTGTATGTGAGTGATCTGTTTATTAATCCCTTTACCTCCCCCTCCCTCTGTGACTGATATGTATAATAATGTATCTAATGCACCATTCTCCAGCCATGTTTTAACCCCCTCAATACCAGTTTCAAACTTACTGGTCTTTTTTCCCCTTTTTTATATAAAAATAAAAAAACCCGCCGGTTATTAAATACCACTAATTTCTATACCAACCAAGTTCTATTTGCCTCAAACATGATATCAGACGCATTAGGGTACATTGTATGAATGAGTAATTGTCAATCAAAGTATCAGAGCACAGAAAACTGAAAAATGGCCTGATGATAAAGGGGTATTACAGGCCAGTGCACATGTTCTTAAAATACGATAAATATGCACTGAAATAACACATGCATTAAAAGTGTTCGTTTTTAATAACAAAAATGAATGTGCGAAAATTTCTGTTATGTCTCTTATGACGAGTTCACTTTAACTGATTCCCGTCCGCCCTATAGCAGAAATACTGCTACAGGGCGGCACAGGTGCGCAAAATCACGTATATATACATGATTATGCATTTCTGGGTAGGGGGCGCGCACGAGCTGCGTGAGCGCCCTACCCGCACCACCATTCGCGGACGCAGCTGTCAATCACCGGGTCCCGGTGCCTGGTGATTTCCAACGATCTCCGACGGGGAGAACTATTTTGTTTACTAACAGTTCTCCTCCCTGTCAACTAGGGCACACTGCTTTGGATGGCTGTGCGCAGCACAGCCATCCAGAGCACTGTGCTTAAAGGGAAGCACACTGACACGGCCCCCTATGTAAAACACTCCTTGCACAATGATCGCCCCTAATGTTAACCCCTTCCTGCCCAGTGCCATTAGTACTGTGTCAGTGCTTTTTTTTAGCACTGATAAATGTATTGGTGTCACTGGGGATGTCAGTGGCACCAAATCAGTTCCCTCCAGTGTCAGGATGCCCGCCGCAGTCCTGCTATAAGTTGCTGATCGCTGCCATTACTAGTAAATTACTAGCAAAAAAAATCCAGTATCTATACGGCCATTTGTAAATGTTATAACTTTCAGGTAAACCATTTAATTTACACGTATTGGGATTGTTTTTAGCAGACATGTAGCAGAATACATTTTGGCCCAAATTTATGACGAAATTTGATTTTTTAAATTTTTTTTTACTGGACATGTTTTATAGAAAAACATATTGTTTATTTTTTTCAAAATTGTCGGTCTTTTTTTTTATAGCGCAAAAAATACAAAAAATACACAGGCGATCAAATACTACTGAAAAAAAGTTTAATTTGTGGGAAAAAAGGATGTAAATTTTATTTGGGTGCAGCATTGCATGACCGCGCAATTGTCAGTTAAAGTAACACAGTGCTGTAACGCAAAAAATGGCCTGGTCAGGAAGGGCGGTAAATCCTCTAGAGGGCAAGTGGTTAAAGAAACTAACGCAATTGCATAAACTGCATTATACTGCACATGATTTATGGTAAATGTACACACGGCTATATTTACAGTTTTTTTTCAGTTAATTAGATGGTGAATTGTCTATTTTCAGCCCAGGTTCACACTGATGCGGTGCGGCACATTGCATGTGATTCGCACATGAACCGCACCTCATTCTTGTGCAAATCACATGTGATTTCTGTGCGGTGCAATTTGCGCCATACATTTTGTAAGGCTCAAATCACACTGCATCTGCACCAAAAAAGTGCAAAACCCTTTTTTAATCTGCACCAGAATCGAATCGCATGGGTGTGAATAAGTGAATGTGATTCTGCACATCACGGCGCATTTTGAAAACTGATTTTTGGGTGTCGTTAACTTAACATGCACACCAGCAGTGGTTCATATGAACAGGGCGTGGTTATAATGCGATGTGGAAATCGCACAGAAACTAGTGTGATTTCCACACCACATCAATGTGAACCCAGGCTCAATGAATTTAAGGCTGCAGCTTAGTCAAAGTAATACAATACTGCCGTTTGTTTTCTTGCTTACATGTTTCCTAAAATAAATGATTACATTGTCATGGCTATACATTGGACGGGCGTACACATTTTATGTTATTTTGCCATGTTACCATTTCATGAACTCAGCCTGTCTGCACTGCTATTTGAACAGAGGGGGGCACTGTAGTCACACACATAAAATAAGCTGCGGCCAATACCAGGCACTATTTATTTCATTATTTATAGCATACTCTCCATGTCTCTTTGTTTCCTCTGTAGCTGGATACATTAGCCAATGTGAGCCCTTCGATCTTGTGTTCTATGGGTATTCTGGCCATGACAAATGATGATATAGATTGCAAATTACCTCTCCAAATGTGGATGACAACCCAGGAGGAAGAACATTGTCCACTATTACAACAACTCACCAAGACATTTCTAGGTAACTTAGCTGATTCTCTGTGTCACTCTCCATCTTACTGTTATACCGACTTACAGAAAAAGACATTTTAAAATAATTTTAACAAATAAAGTGATATTAAAGCCTGATTTTTTATGAAAATAAAAATAAGGGTATACTCACCTGCACTGCGCAATGGTATTGCACAGAGAAGTCCCCTATCTCATTTTCTGGAATTCTCCCCTCGCACTGTCTGCTTCTTCTTTTTCTGTGGGTGCCGCCATAGCAAGCTGTGTGCTATGAGGTCACCTGTGTGGGCACACTGCTGAGCCAGGCTGTGTGCATCCCCCTGCTTCCTCCTCACAGAATTTGACTGACAGCGGCAGGAGCCAATGCTGCCTGTGTCTCCTCTGAGACCTGGAAGTACAGGGAGAAGAGCTGCAGCCATCCAGCCAGCCTGGATCACTGACACAACGCAGGTAAGTGTTTGGGGTGGGGGTAGGAGGAACAGTTAGTGGGGAGTATTTTACTTTGGGCGCCAGTTCAGACTACATGCATTTCGGTTGCTTTTTTTCTGCATCCAAAAAGCACAGAAAAAAGGTTATATGGTTGTCAATCTCATAGTTCACATCAGTGCTCACAGTTCCAGTGTGTTCTGGTTGCAGAAAAAAAGTAGAACAGGCTGCATTTTTCCTGCACAGAACTGCATTGGAATGCAGTAAAATGCATCAAAAACAAACCAGAACACACTGGAATGCACCTAAATGCACCAAAAATGCACTGGAATGGACATGTCCCTATTTAAATTGAAGAAAAAATGAGGGGAAAAAATGAACTGTAATGCATAAAAACGTACTGGAACGTGTAAAAAACGCACTGGAACACACCAAAAAGGCATCAAAAACGCGTTTCTATAGTGTGAACCAGCCCTTATGCAGAGTATGCATTAAGGTGAACTGCTCTTAGACGTTAGACCCACTTTAATTGGTTTACACCCCGGTCACATTGGGTGTGACTTGGCACGCATGTGCATGCCAGGCGACTTGCATTTCGTATGCCAAGTCGGACCCTATTGTCTGCTATTAGAGCGGTTATATCGGTGCGGTTCCGACTTGGTTGGAGCCACACCAATTTCTAACGTAGTGCATGCACTAGTTTTGTTTTGATTTGCATAGACATCTGTGTTGGATGTCTTGCAAATCACAACTAAAATCGGCAGGTCACCCTATTTTGAAATTGTGCAACTTCACTGTAAGTTGCACGATTTCAAAATCGGCTTTGATGTGACCGAGGGCTTATTTAATAAAAAAAAACTAACGCCTGAATGTTTTGCTTCTCCACTATCCTTGTGTCCAAAGTTTTCCCCACTCCAGCATCCTGAGATAAACATGGAAAAGGTGAAACTAAAGATCCCTAACGTGAGCCTATACTTTGTCCATGCAGGGAAAAATCAACATTTTAAAGAGGAAATAAACTCTTTAGGCTGAGCCAAAAAAGGCAAGAAGAGAGAAATAACTAATCACTAGTATTGCCTGTGGACTCCCTGCAGCTCATCTTTCTGTATTAATGATTTACCATACCTTGTTCTGCATTGTGCCTCTGTGTAGAGGCAGCCATTTTGGTAGAGGCAAGACTTTGCTTCCTCTTGTAAAAGTTTCCAAGCGGGGAATAACTGTTCACACTACATTGATATCACTAAAATCTCATTCCAAATATCCTTAAACTGACCATACATAGATTGAAATTCGTCCACTGGACGAATTTTGATCCATGTTTGATCAGGGAGGTTCAACAGAAGTTGATCTACCTACCCACTCAATTAACGCCTCTGGCTCTGATCAGTGTTTTCTGATAGCGGGGAAGTCTCCCTGCTCTTAGAATACAATAGCTCAGCGGGGTGTATTCCCCCATCTATATGGACTGTGTGGAGGGGAAATTGAGTCATCATAATGACTCCTTTAACCTCCCTGGAGGTATTCCCAAGTGTAGCTCGGGTAAAGTTTCTGTAAGTTTCTGGCGGGAAATTTGAAAATTTGAAAAAAATTTCATTTTTTTCAAAACGAATTTTACATAGTAAAACATTGCTGTTTCAAACCATTTCACATACATTTTGTCCCGAGTGCTTTGTCCTGTCCCCTGTCTGCATTTTGACTGTTCTTTCTGCCTTGAAACTGAGAAACGTCCGTGGCATCCAAAAAGCGTCCCTTTAGGTTAAAAGCGGTTTTTAGACCAGCTAGAGAACAGCAATAGTAAATCAGAACCACTCGTAATCATACCGCCAGGAAAGTAAGGGCTGCCTTAGACTAACAGCCAGAGGCACAATGCCTTAATTCTCAGATGCACAACAGTACCTATGTAGGCACACTACTCACATACAAGGAAGTTCACTGCTATGTTTCAGAATTTCCAGAAAAAGGTTTTTATGGTTCTGCTGAGGCACAGTGAACATTTGGAGATGTTTCCTAACAGCAAAGTTTCAATTTTTGAGGGTGGCCCCACCAGTAGCACGTTTACCTTCCATTCCCTATTCCAATGCTCTAGTCAGTGCCTCAACCCTTGACACTCCCACCATGCATCCAGGCCCCACTTGACATCTGCGGCCCCAGGGAGCACCATGGCGGGTGGAGGCGAGAGAGGAGAGCAGACGAATGTCCGCTCTCTTCTTCTTTCTGTGACCCGAAAGGCGGAGTATATGATGTCACTTTTGGGTCACGGTTTATTTATTACAGGTACTTATATAGTGCTGTCAATTCACATATATATTGTACATTCACATCAGTCCCTAACCCTCGAGGGGTGTACAATCTAAGGTACACGTTTGTCACTTTCCCCGGCTAGAATAGCCAGGGATACATGTATTGCAATGCGATCTGCTTTGCAATACATCTTGTTGAAACCAGTGGAGTCATGCAGGGTCTTTTTCCTAATAAAGAGAACCTGTCACCTAAAAATCATCACATGGGGGACTTTGTGTCTCCTACATAATGAAAAAAAAAGTTAAGTAAAAACATTTTTTTTAATAACAGAAAAATAGAGTTACACCCAAGCACATAACATCCCCTCCAAAAAAATTTGAGGCCCCCCCCCACTCTCACATATACACATGTACGAGTGTAAACGCACGTGTTGGAGTGCCTATGCTGGAAAACATACACATTTCGATACACATGTTACATATCGCTGCACATGCCGAAGTGAGAGCAATAATTATGGCAGAAGGCCTTCTCTGTAACACTAATCTGATGACCTATAGGGGGTTTTTGAAGCATTGCTTATAGAAAATATAGGGTACGGAAGTTTGTTGCCAATTGATAGGCGCAAACACATTTAAGGTTTGGCATGTTGGGTATCTATTTACTTGGTGAAACTTCATCTTTTATATTTTACCAAAAATGTGGGTAATTTGTTGCGTTTGTGTTTGTCCTAAAATTCACTTTAGTGTGGCTTTTTGCTGAAATGTTAAGACCCTTGAGGTAATATCAGGTGATATAAAAAATTGGAACTACTACTATTTTATTCTCTAGGGTGTCTGCTTTCTGAAAATATATAATGTTTTTGGGTTTGCGTAATCTTCGGGCCTGACATCATTTTTTAAACTTAAATAGATGCAAATCGGCTCTGGCAGCAAA